AGCGCCAGCTCCTCAAATTCACTGCGTACAATAAAGGAGGTCGAACCAGTAAGTACAAGCCACCGAGCACCATAGCTCAACCGTAAATGCTTCAAGGTAGACTTTGGTGCTGATTCCAGCCAGTCAAGAAGGATTTGGGTTCAGTGCATGCCACTTGCTCCCAGTGCACCGCAAACCAAAATTATGAGCTCAAATGCTGTGTTTGTGACAAAGTGAAGGGCCTAGATCTTTTCGCCAAAAGCCAGCGGAAGGACCCAGATAACGCCAGATGCACCAAGTGTGTCGACAATGATGTTGAAGCTGAGCCTGACCTTCATCCTGATGATGACGGTGATTTCAGTGATGAAAGCAGCGACGGCGATAATGAAGAAGTAGAACCCAAGGTATGGGTTGAAACCTACGTATTGTACTTTCAATTATTGGTTTTCTTTGCTAACAATTTCTTAGTGGGATGGTGGCGCGACTGCCAACAATATCAATCCTTATAGACCTCAGAATAAGCCGACTGCCTGGTCGTCGGCTGCCGGTGAGGACGATGAGGATGAATTTGAAGATGTCTCATCTTCTGCTACATCCACTCATGGTGGTTCTTCCAGACAGCAAGGATACCAGCTTCCGGCACGTCCTGGCGCCGCACAGAGTGCTCCGACTGTGTATAGCTCCCGTACTAATCAGCCCTCTAACACCTACGCCGGTCGTGCTCCTCCTGTCGAGGACGACGACGACGAATGGGAAACTATGGATAAAAATAGACCCGTTGGGGGCTCGAGTAGAGCCTCATCTACTGCCTCACCTTCCGGTTACTCGTCACAGCAGCCAGCCAGAAGGAAGAACGGATGGGGAAAGGTTTCTAAGGCTGACAGTATGCCAGAGGAAGACCCGTGGGCCAAATATAACCGCAAGTAGAGGATATTAAAGGGTCGAAACCTCTAATGCTCTTTTCTTCCCTTCTGAAATTCCAATTTCGTTATGTGCCCACCTTCCTATTGATACAATTCCCATCTTCCCTAGATCCTAAATCCTCTATCTTATCATTCCCTCTCATAACGTCTCATCTCTTCCCCTGACCGTTGCACGCAATACCCTCAAAAACAAATTATTTCTCTTTGGAATCAAATACAGGGGACGTTTTCTTTTACCTCCTTTCTCTTTTCTTAAGTACTACATGTGCCAAGTCTGTTAGACGTACAATGTCCAGATCTTTTTGTACGTAAAAAGAAACCTTTTTTGGGAAGGTAAGTATCTCAATAGACGGAACTACCATTTCTCAACCTTAAACTGTTTATTCTACAGTTGTAAAGAAGTATTGCTTTGACCCAGCGACGACCAACCCTTCATGTTATCATCTCTTTCTTGCCATTTACCACTTAAGTTTCCCCATGAAAAGCTATGGTGCGCCTACCATAGCCCATAAGACGTTGAAGTTGCCTTTTAAAGCGATCATGAGTGAAGATTAGGGGGCGTTTTCAAGACAAATGTTTAGATAGGGGAATTCCAACGTACTTTGTGACCGCCTGCTGAGGCGAATTAATGCGGTAGTCTTAAAGGTGACAAGCCATCAATAAGAGGGTACACTTCTAGCCAGCTTGGTGCCTCACTGCCACGACTCAGGCAGGCCCGCTTTTTGGGAGTATAAATTGGTATAATACTGTTCACTCTTGGCGTTTTTTACATACAAAAACAGCCAATTTCATTCTCTTATAACTTCATAACCATTATAGGCATCACCTATCAAGACAATCTCTTCTTCACCACTGTTTCTAGTTTTTCTCTTGATATCTATTGTAGTGATGAAGTTATAAGCAACTCAAATTCCGTTACCTTTAAGACCGGGCCACCTAATTGCCATAGATGAAAACCTGCACGCAATTAATGGGTTAAAAAAACACTCCTATCGTGTCATAGATTATCACTCGTTATCCGCCGAATCATAAATGCTTTTTTTTTTGGTTTGGTTCGTGAATTAATTGCATGCAGACTTTCGGCTAAATACATGTAGCTATGACAATAAATCACAGATGTTAGAAGTATAGGCTGCTTTTTTGACTGGGTAGATTGACAAGAAAGATATATGGCTCGATTTTCGGTAGTGGGTAGGTGTGTAAACTTGAGTGGCAATTGATTTTGTAGGAAGAGCTTCAAGTAAAGACCCTAATCTACGCTTATTTCGAGCTAAAGGTCGGTTTCCGCCAATTGAAATTCAAGTTGACACACCTACCCTCTCTCGAGAATCTCACTATATGTATGTTGCTTGCATTCTTGTATGCTCTACTATAGTACAATTAATTAAGAATCCTTATATATAACCCTTAATACACCGAACTATTCCATTGTTTCCACCATCCATATTTCTTGATATTGTAGTGGCATATAGTGATTCATACATGCACTTGTAGCTGATAAGCTCGGAATCCGTATTCAGCAACAATTGCGGAAAGGGACTCAATCAACCGAAAGGTAGACCAACATTTATATACCATAAAACAGACAAGAACTCTCTAGTTTCCTCCGACGCTGACAAAAGACGGGGTAATTAACAGAAAGGGCGGGTGGCATACTCGATTTGGAAAATGAATAAAACTCCTCGAATCTTATAGTCTCCACTCATATGGGTACTTACTTATATATAAGAGATGACCTTCAGCGTTTAGCCCCAAATCCGCATTGAGTCGTGATGTTTACCAAGAGCATAGCTACCTAGGTAATTCTGGACTATGAGATTGAACAACTGAGGGATATCCTTACTGTGCATGTGGTGGATCATACGATTAATTAAGTAATCAACAGTGGCGGCCAACTAGCTATCCCTTGGGCCGGTGAGACACGCAGAATCCAGGACTTCCTATTCAAGCAAAGCCAAGTCACGTTTCCTCGAATAATAAAGCGTGGCTTAGTGATGAAGCACCAGGCTCAGTGACTTTGCCACTGGAAATCAATACTGTGATAGGAAGTCCTGGATTCTGCGTGTCTCACCGGCCCAAGGGATAGTATTAGTTTAATTAATTAATCACACCTCAATGCCATATTTAGATATGGGATTGATCGAGTAGGCGCACGTAGTTTTATATAATTATGCCTAGACCCCCCCGCCCCGGGGCCTGTCCTTGCCGAACCCTTTTGTCGGTGGTCTAAGAGGGTATCTTGCTCTCGCCGTTATTAATTGCAGCCCCTTGTGAGTATTGCATGTGCTTATATTAGTTAGTCAGTAAGGCTTGTGATTGTTTGCATGTACTAACAGTAGCTAGTACGATGTAATGCAATTAATAAATTAAACAAAAGAAAAAAGCTATGTAGTACGATTTAACCCTAGCCCTGGCATGATTAATATTATGTACTCTTTTACCAGAATAGGAACCAGAAAATGCAGTTGCTAAGGTCAAGGATTATTTGTATGGCAAGACGGCGCCACTACATATAAATTATCCCAGTCTCCTTCACTTACATTTTCTGGTTCTATCCGTGGTAAACGAGTAGACATGAGATCTAGACTCAACTACTCGTTCCTCCATGACGTTTCCGAACACGACCAATATTGCATACCATACAAAAAGGGGCCAAATGCACCTTTTTGTGTGTATGCAATATTGGTCGTGTTCGGAAACGTCATGGAAGAACGAGTACATGTAGTATATGAGAGGATCAATCTAATTTAAGATCCTTGGCCGTTCTCTGCTCTTATCATGCTATAATGTATAGCTTAGGGGCTATCTTGTAGAGAAACATGGCAGAGAAGTTAAAGCCCTGATATCGATCTCTAACTAGCCCTATATATATCGTGGGGGATGCGGGACAGAGGCAGAGCTAGAGGCGGTCTAATATTTCCCTCATAACAGGACACTGGTCATAATATTGGACTGCTCAAACGATGCAGGCCGGATTCTGGACAGCATACCAAACCGTCCATGGACATCCGGGCTGGCTGACTGGGCAGGCAAGTACCTACATACATACATGTATGTACATGTACGTAGCAATTATGCAATTACCAAATATCTATTACACCGACTGTAGCTGTGAATGGACGAAATATATTATTATTCTGATCATTATTATTATTATTATTATTCATATCAAAAACATAATATGCACCACCCACTCCCAAAAGTGATGTTTCAATTCGAGCGATCCCTCAGCCGCGGGGGAGAGCAAAACGATTTTCAAAACACTCGTTATCAGTATGCTGCTTTTCGACTCAAACCCACTGGCACCCAGCACACTCACCACCGATAAGCTCAAAGCCCTCTCCGATCGCAGGGTGTGCGCGCGCATCTCCCAGCGCATCCGCCACAGCACCCGCAGATCATCTCCCCCCCCCTAACCCTACCCCAGCTGCCCATTAGAAATCTTTGCCCCCGTCTGCACGAGCGAGCGCTTAGAGTGCATACAGCCAGCCAATATAACCACAGTCGATGTATTGAAGATCACACCGTCAGAAAAAGTAAGAACCAAGAGAAGAGGAAGAAGAAAAAAAAGCAAGCATGCAGGGTCACCCAACCAAACGTCGGCGGGTATCTTGCACTTTGTGGGTGAGCGTATGTATGTAGGTATCAGTACAAGGAGAGAAGAGTATGTACTCTATGCTACACCTGCGGTCCAATTGAGATATGCGCTCATCCGGAGAAGTACATGCAGGAAGATAATCAACACGCCTAACACTCTATCACATCGAATGTGTGGCTGGGGAAGCAGCACCCGATGGAGTGACGGGTCCCAGAGGGTTGGAAGTAATGCTATGCGTTCATGCGCGTCACGGAAATAGGTAGAGTAATAAAAGTTGGGTCTATGATTGCGGGACCTGGAACCTGGGGTGGCACGAGTGACGGGACATGAAGCACACCCAACCAGTCCAGCTAAGATGTGCCAAATATGTATATACGGCTGCTGCAATCTAAGACATTTCCGAATCAGAAATTTCTTTACTCTGAAGCATTATACAGATGGCCTAGTGCGAAACCTCGCGGGAGGACCTCCAAAAGCCCGTGTTTGATGGATAATAATATGCTTGGTTAGTGTAGAGGTTATCACTCCGGATTTTGATGCAAAAGAAAATTCCGGCAACCCCGGTTCGAATCCGGGATCGAGCTCTCTTTTTAACTTTTTAGCTTTGGTACGAGTTTGGCCTACTGTTGTTCATTCCATACTATGGTAGGTGATCCATACTATGTGTCTTAATTAACCAGATTGACATACATACACATGTATTCGTAGACTAACACAGTATCACCTTCTGCGAGATTTCAAACTACAAGATGAAAGCTCATGATGACTCGTATGCTGCTGGCTATACCTGGGCACGCTTCTGAAGGCGACGCATCAGTCAGAACTCTCAGGCAAAGTGACGTTTCGGGTGTTCTAATCTGTCTCAGGCACAGTGTATCAAACCTGTCTCGGTGTCATGGAGGTTTCTGGACTTTCGAGCCATATGCGTATCATCCACCAAAACCGCTCAGATAGCTATGTAGCTAGCTCTCGCGGGTGTTTGCATCACATTACATTACCGGGGGGGGGGGGGGGGCTTTCCACGTGTGCGAATGTTGAGCCAAACTTTTTATTTCTACCAGGAGATATGTATATATACTTGCCGTATGATCACATAGTTAACCGCAGTCTCAGTCTGGCGGAGTGGAGGATTGTAAGTTCATCCGTCTTCCCGGTACCGTAATTATAACTATATCCACATATGCTTCCCGCAGGTCTGTAGCCGGGAGCTTGGCTCTCATACCGATTCCCAACCCTGGAAACATCTGCGCAATGTTTCCCGTCCAAACGAAACAAGTTTTTACACACAGTGACAACACACCGCCGCCAGCTTTCAGCGATCACACGCTATCACTCGTGGCCGGTTTCCAGCGGCGGGCCGCGTGTAGCCCGATACTATGAAAGCAAAGCTACATCATATGCAACCTAGGCTATACAAGAATTTCATTCCAGCTGGAATCCTCCGATCTCCGTCCCGATCTGCCTGCCACCAGCCAAGAACAGAATACCCATCCATTGGTCCGTGCAGGCCATCGCTCGAACCACAAATCTTCCGATAGACAGCCCCCCCCCGCCAGGGATCAACCTGATTTACATACGGGCCGAAGTATCCCACCCTATCAAGCTCGCTCAGGGCCGGAACCCACCGTTGCTTTTATTGGGCCAGCAAATAGACTCCACGGAATGAATGGAATGGGCCTACGTATCGGTCGGGCGGCGGGCGGCGTGCGGCGTGCGGCGTGCGGATTCACTGCCAACTTTAAAGATTGTTCTTTTGTTTTTTGTATGACAGATCTACCCGTCCGTATAGTAGAGTATGTACGCAGTCCCGCATGGGAAGCTGAGCTTACGAGTCCGAAGCACAAGTGGCAAGGTGGTCCTGGGACACGGTAGGTCGGTCAACAATTATAGGACCCTACGTGTTTCTCCATCCTGTGACAGCGCTGGCAGGCAACCAAGGAAGGTCGGGCGGCACTGCACATACGTTGGTGAAGGATGTCAAATTCCAAGGTGCTTTGTACCATGGGAGTGGGATATAGCCAGGTACCTACCCCTTGGGGCGTTTTCTTTCTGAAAGTCTGACCGCAGTTGATCTTAGTTATTCTAGAATAAAGTGATATTAGGTTGCGGTACTTCGCCACCTAGGGGCACGTTTTTGCGAAATGAACTTGCACAGCCTCATCCCTGACCTCAATTCCTATCGTGAAACACACCAATCAAAGTTTTCATGTGCTTTACCAATCATCGGTGTCCAGAAGTTGACTTTGGGGTCAATTCTCATTGGGATTGCCCGGCGATCTCCTTATTAAAAGTAAACTAATTACCCAACCATTGACAGGGTGGGCATTTTCTGAAGTAGAGAAAATGTTTTGTCCCCAACGTTCAGGAACACGAGCCTCTAATCATGGCGAGTCCAAGTGCCCTCTTCTCTACCCATCTTGTCTGTGCACAGAACATTGCATCTGCCAATCCCAACAGGAAACGAAGCCACGGTTGATGTTCATTTCATTCCCGTACAGCTGGTACATATCGTTAAAATTCATGCGCTATATGTGGCATGGCAAGCAGCGAACCTTTGGTGTAGCTCCATAAATGCTGTCTACCGATATTCTCCGACGTCATATGTTCCGCCGTCCCGCAACCGAGGTCATGGGCACTATTCTGGAAGACGAATTGAGAATTGAAATGAGTTCTGTGAACCCAAGAAGGGGGGTAATCGCCCGTGAGCTTTTCGTGTCATGGTCGTTGCGAGGCATTAGTTCTTCGGTGGGGCCCATGGGTATGTATATATGGGGATAGATATATATTGGTCTCCATCACAGTCATATAAACAGGTAGAAGGGAACATAGAGATTATATCCTAGGCTAGGTGTGACACAGCTTGTACTTAAACCTCTAACTTTACAAGAGGGCTATTTCCCCAAGGTGATGATGTCTCGCCCTTGAGCTGTTCTCTTTTTTACCTTTGACGTCCTGGAAAGATTCTCATGAAACGATCCGGGTAATTATTAATACCGGGAACCAGGTGTGATGTATGGAGAGAGATGGATGGCTGGATGCTACGATGGGCTAGCTCATAAAAAGCAGCAGAGCATCATGCATGCACTTTTTTCTTTCTTTTCCCGGGAGATTCTGAAACGCTGGGTCCTCTGTATGTACGGCATGCCTGTGCGACGCGTTATGTCCCTTTCTTTTTCACTCCATCCCATCTGGGCGTTTTGTGGCTCATCTCGTCCGACGACAGTTGAAATTGCACTGATGTAGCATGTAATTACTTTAATCATCATGGTGGGGAAACAGAACCAGTTCACGAACTTGTGAGTTGCGATATAAAGCTCGAAGAGAATATGTGTCAGCTACCGATACTCTGGAGCCAGAAGAATATGTACTCCACATGTGCGTATGCATACAGAATACATGTAGCTTACATAGAGTATATCACTTTGTGAGGGCCATCTCGACATAAGCAATTTCATACATGTTTGTAATATGTAGGTAATGATGTTTTGTTGAATTCCCCGCAGGGCGGCCGGTGAATGTTTGGTGGCTGGCCCCTATTAGAGTAAACGTTCATCTTGAGATTTAGGTTGGGTTGGGTTGGGTTGGGTAAACGAAAGGGCATCTAGAGGCTCAGGGTTCAAGGAAAGACCCGTTCTCGCCGACCTGAGAACGAGATGAGTAGCAAGCATACTGGAGATCTTTCTCTGCCTGAGATCCCGGTTGGCTTGTGAATTTATACTATCGAGGGATGAGAAAGCAGTAAGGTCGCCCAAATGTGGCGTCTAGAGGGGGAGCCGTTTACGGAACGATGTTGGAAGAAGGATAATCACGGTTCGGTTAGTGAGTAGTCAGAAGAGGGATATCACCGTTCGGTTAGTGAGAGTACATAGTAAGAAGCTTGGTTGTTTGGCTGGATGTAACATCTCGTGTGATCATATTGGTTTTTTCCTTCCCCTTTCAGAGAAACACCGTGTCGAGACGAAACTGTGTATATAGTGTCCAATCGGTTGCCAGCGGGTTGTGTACGATAAAAGATCGTTTTTAATTTTTTTTTCCGCGTGAGGAATTGTAATATTTTGAGACACAACGCTGAGAAGATGTTCTGCAATTTGATATTATTTATATTCCACACTGACTTGCAAGACAAGGGATTTCGCCATCCCATCTTACCTACACCGCCAAGGCCCGACAATTATTATCATCATCATGCAGAGAACTCAACAGCCCTAAACCCTGACCTATCACCGCTCTCCAAAACCGTTCTGACTCAACAGCTTTTTTTCGAGCGATTGCCAAGACTCCACTGCTTTCCTAAACACGGCAAGTTGCGAACGCAGCCAAAACATGACCTGTCACTTCGTTCGTTCCACAGCTTCTCGGCGCCGCAGGAGCCTAATTTTTCATGCCTGCAACGGAGGTTCAAGCTTAAGCTGGAGGAGAAGGAGGAGGTCCCTGCACTGCAAGAGAACAGGAATGGTTCGCACTCACTGGATCGATGCTAAGGACTTTTTTTCACGTGAGTCGACTATGGAGGCAAAACAAGCGCGTCAGAGAGGAGACAAAGCGGACAACCTCACACAAGGAAACATTTGAGCGCATGCAGTCGTCCGAAAGTTACTCATATATCAGAGAGATACTTCTCTTCGTAGCTAAGAATACTACAGTATGTACTGGCGGCGCTGGCGGCGGTCTACACAGGGAAAAAATCAAAATTCAAAATTCAGATTCAAGTTTAAATTTTGTTGTTCTGTTCCCCACCTCCCATATGTCCAATATCGGCGGAGATTGCAGGCGTATTTTTCTTCCCTGTTTGCCGTTAATCCCTTTACGGTAAAGCTCCCAGAAAAAGAAACGAAGGAAACCATCTGGAAGGGATTGGCCCTTAGAACAGTCTAAGACTTCAGGGATCATATATCCGACGACAAGCCAACCCGTTTCGGCAGACACGGCCACTCCTCCCCTGGTGCGGACATGGAAAAGGCTTTGACAGCCCAACAGCTGCATATCCACAGCCCTGGCCCCTGCCAACACAACAAACCGCAAATCACCACACCCAATCCCCCCGTAAGAGGACACTCTGCCCTGTTGGGCTGCCTTCTGCAAGCTGTGCTGCTGCTGATGGTGTTGTTGCTTTATTTCGTAAGTGGAGAGAATTCCTGAAGGTGGTGATGATGAAAACAGGATAGAGAGAGAACTTATGACTTTTGAGTGCAGCTCAGGGAACCCGCTGTCTCAAAATAGTATCCTGTACGAGGACGTTCAACATCCCCCCCCCTCCATCCATCAACGGTCTCCCCCCCCCACCGCGCATAGGTAGATACATCATGTGCATACGCCTCTACATTCAGTATCTAGAGAAAGCAAATATCCAAAAGAGGGGCATATCATATCATTATCACAATTATCACCATCACCGTCTGTAAGAGTAGGAGTAAGTAATGTAACAGCCCCTCTGTTGCTCCTCTGTTCCAACAGTCCCCCCCTGGTCATTTGATAGACTCATCTATGACCCCTCCATATCCCATCTATCCATATCCCATCTATTCTCACTTACCTTACCGTGTTTACCTAAGTTTCACTGTGCAGAGCACTCTAGAGTCTACCT